GGGCATGAAGCCACAGCTGGACTTGTGCCCAAGAAGGTACCACTTCTACAGCTATGATTGCTCTAAAGCACAGGAGTCTTACTGTTTGTTGTACTTAAAAGTGGCCCTGAAAGATGAGAGCAAGAACTTGTGGAGACTGGTTCTAATAGGTGTCTCCCTTTATACTAAGACCTAAAGAATGAAAACTTTGTATGGGCCCAAGTTCGTCTATTTCCATTTACTTTCCAATTTCCACAGGAAATAGATAATTAATGACTTGACTAAACCCAGCTAAGAGTTTGGTCTTTATCACAGTCTTTAAGAAAAAGAATTTTAGGGCTGGAGCGATAGTACAGCGGCTAGGGTATTTGCCTTGCGACCTGAGTTCAATTCCCAGCATCTCATATGGTCCCCTGACAATCGCCAGGAGTAATTTCTGCATGAAAAGCCAGGAGTAACCCCTGTGCATCGCCAGGTGTGACCCAAAAAGCAAAAAAATTTAAAAATAAAAATAATTTTTGGAGCCAGGGAGTTAGTACAAAAGCTAAGGAACCTGCTTGCGGCTGAAGTTGTGACCCTGGTTCAAATCCTGGCACCACATGTGTTCCCCCTGAGCACCACCAGGAATGGCCCCTGAGCGTATAGCCAGGTGTGACCCCAAAAACCCCAAAATAAAGGAAGTTTTAGGGCTGAAGAGATAACACAAGAGGTAAGACACGTGCCTTGCATGCAGCCAACCCCAGTCTGAATCTCTAGTACCACATAAGTTCCTCCAAGTACCATCAGGGATCACTTCTAAGCACAGGGCCACGAATAGGCCCTGAGCACTACCAGATATGACAAGAACATTAAAAAACACAGATAAATAATTTTTGGGTGGTGTTTTAGGCCACACCTGGAGTTAAGGTTTATTCCTGGCTCTGTGCCCAGGGATCACTCCAGCTGGTATATGTGGAACCATATGTGGTATTGGGTATTAAACCTGGGTTGGCCTCCTGCAAGAAAAGCACTAACTTTTAAGTCCTACTCTTTGACCTCAAAAAAAAAAAGTTGTTTTAAAAAAGATCAGCGGGGTCGGGGCGGGGGCTAAAGTGATAGCACAGTGGGGAGGGCATTTCCCTTGCACACAGCCTGGGTTCGATTGCCAGCATCCCATTTGGTCCCCTGAGCACTGCTAGGAGTAATTCCTGAGTTCAGAGCTAGGAGTAACTCCTGAGTATCGCCGAGTGTGACTAAATAAGTAAAAAAAAAATTTTTTTTTTTTTTGCTTTTTGGGTCACACCCGGCGATGCACAGGGGTTACTCCTGGCTTTGCACTAAGGAGTTACTCCTGGCGGCGCTCAGGGGACCATATGGAATGCTGGGAATCGAACCTGGGTCGGCTGCATGCAAGGCAAATGCCCTACCCGCTGTGCTATCTCTCCAGCCCCAAGTAAAAAAATTTTTAAAAAAAAGATAAGCCACTATAGAAGAGAGCTAGCAAAACATCACACCCAAAATCCAATAAAGGTGATTTGAGGATACCCTCTAAATTATAACTTTTACTCCCTTAATTACTATCCTCTGAGATTTTTTTTTAATTTTTATTTTCATAAAGTTGTTCACAATAATTGATGACATTCAATATTTCAACAACAATCCCACCACCATTATACCGTCCCACTACCATTATTATTTTGTATTGTTTGTCATTGAATAGTATGAGATGTCTCTAAGGGTCTATCTCACAGTGATTCAACAAAGAAGAAAAAAAATAGTATGTGATGTCGTGCGGCTGCCAAAGCGGCCGCGCACTCCTGGAATTCTAAAATTTTATTGTTTTTTTATTTGTTTGTTTGTTTTTGCTTTTTGGGTCACACCCAGTGGTGCACAGGGGTTACTCCTGTTTCATGCACTCAGGAATTACTCTTGGCCGTGCTCGGAGGTCCATATGGGATGCTGGGAATCGAACCCGGATTGGCCGTGTGCAAGGCAAACATCTTACCCACTGTGCTATCACTCCAGCCCCTCTAAAATTTTAAATAATTGGGGTCCGGAGACACTTCTGCAGCGAGCTGCTTGATCTGAACTTTTATATGCCAGTATAGAGCATTTATATACCAGTATTGTGAGCAATACTAGGAATGTAATGATGAGTAGCGCCATTGCTTGCTAAGTGACCGTACAGCAGATAGTGAGGGGACACAGCCTCTAGAAAAGCGTGCCTTAGATGATGGGAGGTCAGAGAGGGTGTCCTGTGGGCTTGCCTTGCCTGAGGCAGACCCAGGTTCGATCTCCAGCACCCCTATGGTCCCTCAAGCCCACCATGAGTGTAGAGGAAGGGGTGAGCTCTAAGCACCACAAGATGTGGACCTAAAACAAAGCAAAACAAAACACAACAAAACAAAAGCATGGCCTAGATGAATAGTAGCAGATTTTCTTCAATGTCTCTAAACTGAGAATACTCTGGTCACAACTGAACCAACGTGTCCAAAATAATAATAACGAGCATGTCCTAAACACTTACTACATACAGGATCTATAAGCACCTCAGAAAATGATTTAGTTCTTAAAATTCTGAGATAATCATTCTCTGTAATCCCATTTTCATAATCCTGCATACCTGTCAGTCATATTTCAGAATTTAGAAAAGTTCAGAATTTTAGAAAAGTAAAATGAAATAAACACTTTTTCATGGGACATTCCAAAGGAGGCACAGCTCAATCAAATAATATTTCTAGGGGAAAATATTGTATAGTTATTTTTATTAATGATATTTCTTTCTTGTGGGGGATGTCCCCAGTCAATCTTAGGGGATCCCAGGGCCACTCCTGATACTTGGCCTCCCTGTGCACCCTGGATGTTTGGTTCAGTGCTCAAAGGTCCTATGTTGCTTGAACCCAGCTAAGCTGGGGGTCACTGGGACCATTCCAACAGTTCTCAGGGGATCATGCAGTGCCAGTGTGGAACAAAGCCTGCATGTGGCAGGAATGCCCTCTGGCCCTTTGCACTATCTCCCCACCCCTCAGGAGATTTTTATAAAAGACCATAAATGGTCTCACTTCTATGTGGGTCAGGTTTAACCACCATATGCTACCCTCCCCTCCACACCCCCCCCAAAAAAAACCAAAAATAAATGATAGGGCCTGGGGATGGTTTAGTGGGCAAAAGCGCCTGTCTTGCAAGTGTGAGACTGACGACAGACTCAGTCCCCGGCGCCACCCACATGCTCTGCTGGGATCTTGGCAGTTATATTGGAGACTCACTTTGCCACAGCCATGTGCAGTCTGCAGGGCGCTACAGTCAGGGATGTGAGCACCCCCAACTCCAAATCTGTGACACCCTCCGCCCCACAGAGAGTTCCACAATCAAGTGTTTAAGCAGCACAATCAAGCCCATGTGTGGGTCCCCCAGCCTTCCCCACAACTAAAATAGGAAGCAAAGGGAGAAGCTATGGATTGCAGCATGACGGGACTCTGGAATCAAAAACATTTTTTTTCTTGTGGTGCCAATGAAAACCCTAAAGTAAGACAAGTCATATAGCTTGCCCTGAATCACACAGCTAATCCGGTCCCAAAGAGACAAAGGCAAATAAATGGAACTATTTTAAACTAAGAACCTTCTGCACCTCAAAAGAAACAGTGACCAAAATACAGAGAGGGACCATAGAATGGGAAAAATTATTTACCCAATACCCATTAGATAAGTGTGACAATACCATACCCATCAGGATATTCAAGACACTGGTAGAACTTTACAAGAAAAAAAACCTTCAGCCCCATCAAAAAAAAGTGGGGAAGGGGCTGGAGCGATAGTACAGCAGGTAGGGTGTTTGCCTTGCATTGTGGCCAACCCAGATTCGATTCCCAGCATCCCATATGGTCCCCCAAGCACTGCCAGGAGTAATTCCTGAGTGCATAAGCCAGGAGTAACCCCTGACATCTCTGGGTGTGGCTCCAAAAAGAAAAAAAAAAACATAAAATCAGACTAACACCCAAACACAGAAGAGACAAGGGCCACGAGGATTGCGTAATGGTTTGGAAGCCTGCCTCATGAGCTGCGGGAAAGGGCAGTTGGAATAGAGAAGGGACCACCAAGTTAATGATGGCTAGAGGAATCGCTCAGGATGGGAGACGTGTGCTGAAAGTAGACAAAGGGCCAAACATGATGGCCTCTCTGATCTGGATTGCAAACCATGATGCTCAAAAATAGAGAATAAGAAGGAAGATCCCTGCCATGGAGGCAGGGGGTGGAGTGGGGTGGGGGTGGTGAGAGGAATAATGGAGATATTGATGGTGGAAAATGCACACTGATGGAGGGATGGGTGTTCAACCATTGTATGATTCAAATTCAATCATGAAAGCTCTGTAACTATATCTCAGTGAGGCAATAAAAGAAAAATAATAAATAAAAATTTAAATAAAAAAATTTAAAACCTATGCTATTGGGCTGGAGTTATAGGACAGCCTCTAGGGCGCTTGTCTTACATGTGGCCAGCCGACCTGGGTTCAATCCCTGGTATCCCATATATTCCCCCAAACCCACCAGGAATGATCCCTGAGCACAGAGCCAGACAGACGGATGTGGTCCCAAAACTAAAATAAATAATAATTAAAAGTGATAATAACTACAAATAAAATTTTAAAAACTGTAAATCCACTGAGTTCTTAGGCAGGGTATGTGACTCAAGTGGTAGAGCACATGCTTGGCACATCCGAAGCCCTACTAACCTGAAAGCATCAGGGACGCCCCCACTCCAGCACCACCTTGGTTCCCACAACAATAGAAAAAATTAAAAAGGGGCAACGAAACAACAAAACACCTCTGATCTTTCCTCTCTACAGGCTTCCCAATGGGGTCATTGATCTGAGGAGGAATTTCAGAGTTAACCTTTGTTCCCAGACCTGGCAACTCACAGGGGGTAACAACTGTCTCCCAACATTGGCCAAGAGACATTTCTCTCCCCAAATAAACTAGCCTTCCCCTCCCATCCTCCACCCTGTACTAACTGTGTTGTCAGTTCCTGCCAAGTTCTACCTGTAACTGGCTTCATCTCTTCAATCCGATGTTTGGCCGCTCTAAGCCCTGTAACGAGAAGGTGATGCCAGCTGGACCCACGCTCCTTCCAGGGCCCCTGGCAGCCAGGACCCAGCGGAGACCACAGCTCTAAGCCCCCGTGGCCCTGGCCTGCAGCTCTGTCTCAGCTGTGTCCCTCTAGGAGGACCTCCCTCAACAATGACCTCCTCACTGCTCCTGGCCTTCCTGTTCCTGACCCCCACTGCCGGGGCCACTCCCAGAGCTGCCAGTCCCTGTCCAGCATGTGGGGGGCCCACCGTGGACCTGGAGAATCACCGAGAACTGCTTCTTGAGCTGGCCAAGAGAAGCATCTTAGACAAGCTGCACCTCAGCCAGCGCCCCACCCTGAGCCGGCCGGTGCCCAGAGCCGCTCTGAAGACGGCACTGCAGCGCCTCCCCGGGCCCCCACAGTGGCTGCTGCGTGAGGCTGACAGGGGGCAGGAATATGAAATCATCAGCTTTGCTGAGACAGGTGGGTTTCTCATCCAGGTATTTCTCCAAACCTGATCTCTCAGAGAGAGGAGGCTTGCGTCCCCCTGTACTCCACCTCGACTCTTGTCTTGTTCCTTGTCCCTCAAATCCTGCTTCTCACAGCCTGTCATCTCCTTAGCCCAGACTCCATCCCTGAGCCTCTGGGAGGTGGATCCCTTTCACTTCTTGAGAGCCAACCAGACCCAACCTTCTGGTTCCCCTCTCCATGGGCCTCCCAAACTCTCTCAAGCTGTGGTGTCAACCCCTCGACTTCCTGGCCTGCCCATCCTGTTCTGCCCACTTCCCCGATCAGCGCCAGCCCTCCTTCCTTCAAGGCCCAGCACTCCCATCCTCTAAAAACCTTCTCAGGGGTTTCCATACCCTCACCCTTCCTTAACATGAACTTCTCTTCGGGATGGTCTGTTTCTGTGTGTGTGTGTGTGTGTGTGTGTTGTGTGTGTGTGCATTTTAATGAAGTTTGTCTTCCCAGGAGCTATCATTTGTTCCTTATATTAAGATATTAAGGCCCCATATGTTGTAGAGACAACACCACACAACTCTTTTTTTTTAATTGAATCAACTTGAGATATACAGTTACAAAGTTGTTCGTGATTGGGTTTCAGTCATACAGTGTTCCAACGCTTGTCCCTTCACTGGTGTACATTTCCCGTGTCCTCAGTCTCCCTCCCATCCATCTCCACCCCAGCCTGTCTCTATGGCAGGCACTTTTTTTCACCCTCCTCCTCCTCCCCTTTCCTCCTCCTCCTCCTCCTTCTCCTCCTCCTCCTCCTCCTCCTCCTCCTCCTCCTCCTCCTCCTCCTTCTTCTTCTTCTTCTCTCTCTCTCTCTCTCTCTCTCTCTCTCTCTCTCTCTCTCTCTCTCTCTCCCCCCCCCCTTCCATTTTGGTTTGCAATATAGGTACTGAAAGATTATCATGTTTTGTCCCCTTACCTACTTTCAGCACTCAGCTCTTGTCAAGAGTGATCATTTCCAACTATCCTTATTGTAGACACCACACAACTCTTGTTTGTGTGCTCTAGGACTGGAGAGACAGCTCCATGGGCTGGAGAGCACACCTGACATGAATGATCCCTAAACCATCATGTCCTCCTGACACAGCCAGCCGACCACCTCCTCCCCGTCAAAACACAATACCATACACAACAAAAGTCTTGTGAGAGGGACAGGGAGATAGTGTAGTAGTCAGGGTGCACACCTTGTCTGTACAAGGACCCAAGATTCAACCCCAGCACTGGTCATCAGTGGGTAGCCCTGGAGACACCCACAGACTGCTGGACCTGAGCAGTAGCACAGCGCTGAACCATCCAGTTCAGTTGACCAAATATCACTAAGGAGAAGCTCCGTGGAGTTACTGAGCACTGCTTGAGAGGCAGCTGGCCCCTCAAAAAAGAAAAAAAAATACCAAAAACTGATGGGACAGAAGAGTCTTTCAGAAGAAGCCAGCGAATGGGCTGGCATTCCAGAGTACATTTGACTCAAGTGGCTAGAGGATGGGAGGGAAAAGCTCTGGTGTGGGGAAAACAAAAATAAAAGGAGTCGGGCAGACAGATAGTACAGCAGGGAGGTCACTTGCCTTGGGTACGGTCAACCTGGGTTCTATCCCCGGCAGCCCACAGGGTCCCCTGAGCCCCTCCAGGAGTGATCCCTGAGCACAGAGCCAGGAGTAAGCCCTGAGTACCACCCAGGGTGACCCCCAAAAATAAAAATATAGGATAAAATAAAAAGAATCCGACTGCGTTAGGAGTTGAAAAGTAACTTAGAATAGAAGGAATAGGACGACTGGACATGAACCAGAGTCCTTTGAACAACAAAATCCCAGGTGTTTTTTTTTTCTGTTTTTTTTTTGTTGTTGTTGATGTTGTTGGTTTTTTTTTCTCTTCACCTTTGTATCCCTGACCCTTAACCCAGTTCCTGGCATAGTGTAACAAGACCGAGGGTTGCCAGGTATTTCCGGTATTGTGGTGCAGGCTGTGGCTCATTTTATCCAGTTAACCCCCACACCTCTCATCCCACCCCCACAGGCCCCAGTACAGGACGCAGCCCCTGTGAAGTCATTTAACTGAAAGCGGGGCGGGGGGGGGGGGGGGGCGACAATCCAAGGTATTTCTGGCAGCTCTGGCTCCTGTCGCGTTGCTGATGAAGGAGTCATGCGAGTAAAAGGTTTCCAAGCCCTTCCTGCCGGAGACTATTATTCTCTTCTAGGAAGGCAGACATTGACGCTCTACGAATATCATTTATATAGTCAAGATCCTAGAGCTTACACAGAGCAGGACTCCAACACCTTTTCTTAGGGCAGGAGTATGACCACCACAGTGTGACTGGGAACCACCTGGAGGTACTCATGGACCGATTTCTTTTGGAGGATCAAACTTGGGGCTTCAGGCATGCATCACGTAACTCCAGGTCTCTGAGCTATCTCCCCAGCCTTCACTCCTTTTTTTTGTTTGTTTGTTTTGTTTTTCTTTTGAGGTCACACCCAGCAATGCTCAGGGGTTCCTCCTGGCTCTGCACTCAGGAATTTCTCCTGGCAGTTCCTGGGGGACCATATGTGATGCCGGGGATCAAACCCGGGCCGGCCGCTTGCAAGGCAAACGCCCGACCTGCTGTACTATCGCTCCAGCACCCCCCCACACACACACATACCATTCCTTTTTTTAAATCACGATACTGGTGTCTCACGTATGAGAAGCATGTACTTTTCTGCTGAGCTACATCCCCAGCTGCAGACATACTTTTCACACTTGCAGACCAGCCCTGGTGCACAAAAAACCACTGGTCTATAGACTTCCGATGTATTTGCTAACGGTGAACAAATACGACTCTCAGGCAAGAAGGGGCCTGTTCTGAGATAAAATCGGGAGGTGTGAATGCCAGGAGTCCACATTTCATATTTAAATATTTTAGTTTGAAGTTTTCATTCCGATGTAAACTACCATTCTACACCACAATGTAACAGAAAGATCTGAAAACTGTTGTTGCTGGCCAAGTGAAAACAGAGAGGCTGGGACTTTGTGGGAGCCAGGGTAAGGGAGGGCCTTTGGTGGTCCTGGAACTGACTCATTCTGACTCACAAGAGTTGATTGTGAATCTCTTCCCACCCCACGTCCTGTGGCATCGTCTTGAGAGTTTGACTTCATGCTTGGTATGAGTCTAATATCCTTCTTTTGCTGAAGGGTTGGGTTTTGCACTTTACCTGATGGTGCTTGGGGATCATTCTCATCAGTGCTTGGGGGACTATGTGGTTCCAGGAATCAAACCTGGGCTTCCCACATGCAAAACACGTGCTCCAGCTGTATGCGCTATCCCCCAGCCCCCTTGTGGGAGAATTTATACCACAGAATTGACAAAGACTGGAAATCAGAGTGACTGCTTTCCTTCCTTCCTTCCTGCTTTCCTTCCTTCCTTCCTTCCTTCCTTCCTTCCCTTCTTCCCTCCTCCTTCCGTCCCTCCCTCCCTCCCTTCCTTCCCTCCCCCCCTCCTTCCTCTTTCTTTCTTCTTTCCTTCCTTTCTTTTGAATTGTGCATTTATTAGTACACCACTAACAATGACCAAAAAGTGCAAGTTATCTTGCATCTAATATGCAATCCTGGGACAGGGACAAGTGGGAACACCTGTTGAAAATGAGAAAGGGAGGTTGGACTTGGAGATAGTAGAGGGAACAGGGAGTTTCCTTATACACGGCTGACCCAGGTTCAATCAATCCCCAGCACCCGCATATCGTCCCCCAGTTCTGCTAAGAGTGATCTCAGAGCTCAGGCCAAGGAGTAAACCCTGAGCACAGATAGGTGAGAAAGAAAGGAAGGAAGGAAGGAAGGAAGGAAGGAAGGAAGGAAGGAAGGAGGAAAATGGGGGATGAAGGAGTGGGAGGCACAGAACAGTCTCCTAGAGATGAAGGTTCTGATATCCAGTCAGGTGCACATCTTAGCTTACCCCGGGTTACCAGGGACTGGCTCTGTTCCCAGGCAGGATTCTTCTCTCTTGAAAAGAGCACAGCACTGCCCTCTACGCTCTGAGGTTTCTTTCCTCTCCTGTCAAATAGGAATTGACCTGTCTTTGTAGCTCTCTTCGCTCAGCCTGCTTCCTGCCAGAAGCTGAGAGCCCAGGCTGGGAAGGTGCCCGGAGGAGCTAGAGCCCACGCATGGCAGAGGCACCCAGGCTCCACCCCAGACACCGCACAATGCACACGTGGGTAGCTCCACCTGCACTAATGTACTTTTGCAGGGAGGGGTTGGGGGTTATACCCAGCTGTGCTCAGAGCTTACCCCTGGTTCTATGCTCAGGGATCACTCCTACTGGTGTTCAGAGCAGTCACTGAGAGACATTTGGTGCCAGGGATGGAGCCAGTCAGTCATGTGCAAGGCAAGAGCCTTAATCTCTGTACTATCTCTCCAGCCCTCCGAAAATGTACTTTTTGGGTGCTTGAACGTAGTTCAGTGGTAGAGCACTTGCCTTGCAGATGTGAAGTTCTGAATCCATCCCTGGCACTGCAAAGGAAAAAAGAAGACAAAGATGGAAATCCAGAGGCCTCTTTTCTTTTCCTTTCCTTTTCTTTTCTGTTCTTTTTTTTTTTCTTTCTGATTTTGGCTACTTCTGTAAATGTTCAGGGTTTACTTCTGGCTCTGCACTCAGCGATCACTCCTGAAGTGGTTAGGGGACCACGAGGATGGAACCCAGCTTGGCCACATGCAAGGCAAGTGCCTTGTCTTCTGTAAAGCACTTGTAACACACATGAAACACCTCATGACGCCCCGCCCCAGAGACCTCTCTTCATTTTGAATTGTCTCTCCTTTCTTTTGAAACGCCTATCTTCTGAAAACACTAGTTTCAGTATTGGGCACTAGTGGGCGTTCTAAAAAATAAAATGGTGACTACTCAATCAGATCGAGCAGGCCCAGTAACGTCTCCATTGGAGACTTTGTTGTTACTGTGTCTGGCATATCGAATACTCTCGGTAGCTTGCCGGGCTCTCCGAGAGGGGCGG